CACTTTAAAAAGACAGAATACCCGTACATGCTTAAACAAAACCCCTAAACACGCCGATTATGTTAATTGGCAGTTTTTGCATAGCGCACGACACCTCTAAACTTCAGTTGAACGTACAGCGCACTGACGTTCAACCGGCGCTACGAACTTTCACGAGCGGCTTGATAGCCGAGTTCTGCAACTTATTGAAATAGCTTAAGTAAATGTAAAAAACTGTAAAAAAAAAAAAAAAAATCGGGGTTTTCTGGGTTTTACTGCAAAACCTCGGCGTTTTTTTTTTCTTTTTTCGGTACTCTTTGATGCGTACTTCAGCTGTTTAATATCTTATATTGCGCCGTCATCAAGCCTCTCGTAAAAGTTGGGGCCGTCACTTTGACGTCAGTGGGCTGCACGGCGAACTGAAGTTTTGGAGTGTCGTATATGGGGCAAGAGATGTAAAAACTACAACTTTTTTTTTCTTTTTTTTTTTTAGAGATGAGCACGGCAACGCTTTTGGAGCGCACTGAAAATTGTGCTTCAAAGGCGCAGCGCGAGCTTGCGGTTGTAATGCTACACCGCACGGTAGCCTGCGGTAATAAACGTTCTATAAATAACCATAGAGCAGTTTGATTGCGTGTGGCAATACACTAAAACCAAGACGGTCAGCAGCGAGTTGTGAGGCTGGGACGCGACCAACGCTGTGAACGCTGCTCTTCCGAAGCTTGACGGTCACCGTTCGCGGCTCTATTTTTAGAGAACTAAGGGCCAAGCAAAGCGCAAACATATCTTCATCACCCTGAAAAAACTTCTGCCACTAACAGTAACGTGACCGGTGCCTAAAACGCGCTCGCTCACCACAAAGTTTCGCAATTTGAGGTTTCTGCAACATTTAATTAACAACATGTTCGTTTTCCTAACGTGCATCCACATCTCCATCACCGGTAATATGATCCCTCCCTAACCGCTTCGCATTTGTAGACAAATAAATCATTTTTAGCGCGCTGAACAGCGTCAGCGAGCAGGCGCACGGGATATCCTGGAGAATCTATCCCCGTCTCTTCCGCCATCTTGGAACTACCGTCCCGCCACCTATAGGGCGTTGGAGTTGCGAATAGAGGTAGTTACGGTAGCAGAGTTGCGCATTCAGCCTCGGCGGCTGGCCGTAGCGCCGGCTTTCCTGCACGTACTGGATGCTTTGCTCATCACGTGACTAAATTTGGCGAATAGCTGCGCCGCCGTGTATGGAAACCCCGGACACCCGGTGTTCGATACAACTAAATTAATCCCCTTGCGCTTTTTTCGACATGGCCCACCCCCTCCCCTTCTATAAAACTATTCCTATCTCCCCCCTCTACCCCCCAACTTTTCTCACCACACCCCTTCCCCCAAGAGCCAGTGACCAATGCGCCCGCTGCGCATTCACTATTAGCCCTCCCCTCTTCCCCCCCCCCCTTCCCCATCTTCATTCAACAACGCTTAGTAGTAGTAGTAGAAAGAGGAGAAGGAGGCGAAAACAGCGGAACATACGCCGGGGCGCGTGCAACGTCGGCAGAGCGACCGTAAAGGTGGCTTTCTTGCACGGCGCTGGATGCTTTTCTCCTCACGTGATCGATCTTGGCGAATAGCGGCGTGGCGGCGCGGGGAAGGCAAATGCGCAACTCTGCCCCCCTTCGGGGGAGCATATCGAGGAACTCTAGCACCGTAAGGTGGCCTCTGGTTGGTTTCGGTCTCGACGGGCTCGCGGCTGTGTTGATGCGTTATGTCGTTTTCGCTTAGTTATGCGATATAAATATATCCCATATGGTGAAAGAAGAAACGATGCAGTGGTAATGGGACACCTTGGAAAGTGTGACGTAATTACGAGCCTAAATTGTGGACGTTTTCCGAACACCTTCATCTGATCAGGTTCTTTGTTCGGTCAGGTTCGGCGGCGAAACGACTGAAATAATGCCGGGGGAGGATTACGGATGTGATCTGCCGTACAGGAGGTACTCGCTAAAACTGGTTTACATAAAAATAAACGAATGAAAAGGCTAATGCATGGAGGCACAGTGAAAAACCAGGTAGACGACTGGACTAACAATGTGCTGGATCGCATAGAACCGATGAACTCGCAAGCTCATCTGTTCATCAGCATTCTGTGAAGTGGTGTCAGGCACAACCTCATGGAATGCAAAAAGGAAGCGATAATGTCTCCATGGGTTTCTTTAAAGAAATTAAGTACTCGACAGATGTTTCGACGGTCCACCCTAGGCCGAGTAGCAATGCTTTTTCAACTATCAGCGCCCTGCTAAAGTATTCATTAGCAGCATTTCACAAGGTTGGTCTTAGGAAACTATTTTTCTACGGACATTTCCTTACAACGTCTTGAGAATATGAGATTAGGGAAAAACCCGTCATTTGATGTCTGACGTCTGTATAATTTGCGAAATAAAATTAAAGGCGCAACCAATTTGACCTCTAGCAAGCAAATGCCAGGCACCGCTTCATGGATTTTGGTTGACAGATACTTTTTTGTTTGAACCGATACGCTTTTTACTTTGAGCAGTTTCGAGAGTGAATCCGGGACATCGACAACGCTTCACTCGAGTGATTTCCACCCAGACGGCTTTTTTTCGGCGTCACATATTGCGTGCCTCAGGCGCTTTTGTCAGGCACTCACAAGATGCCTTTGACACGTTTTTCACCCGGTGGGCCACCGTTTATGTCTAAATGACTTAATTTAATTGGACATCTTAGGAAAATTGAATGACTGCAGACATGAGACCGATCACAATATATAGTTCCCTAAATTCATAAATAAACAGATATCAAAAGTTTATACCGCGAAAATTATTCCCCCATATAATGACACAGCTGTTTTGGATTCGTTATGATGGCAGAGCACGATGCTCTAAAAGAACACAGTGACTGCTTCCGTTGAATTTGCCTTCTTTAAGATCATAACTGCGTTATCACAAATGTACCTTGCGCTTCTTATTGTGCCAAAATCAATAATGGCATGCAGTTAGGTAGTAAAAATAAGTACCATGCACCTCACAAAGTAAGGCGAAAAATCGCAAAAACGCGACAAAAAAAACGCGAATACAACGCCGTCGCCAAGGCGCGGAGGGGAGAGGAAGCGACAAGTTAAAGCCACCTTATGGCGGCCGCGTTACGTGATTCCAAGATGGCAGCGCCCATGCAACGGAGGGTGAAAATCTACACACAAATTCGGTTTCCCCGCAAGATTTAGTGGGAACATTGACGTCACCTTACCTCGCCACCAATTCAGTTTCTGGCTAAATTTAGTGGGAAAAATAACATCACATGACTTCTTGTTACGGCACCTACACACAAATCTGGTTTCCCCCCGCTGATTTAGCGGTAAAATCTGCGTCGCGTGGTCTCAACACTAAATTAGGTTCCTTGGTAAATTTAGCGAGAAAATCACGTCATATGACTTCGTGCCACGTGACCTATAAACGAATTCAATTTCCCCGCTAGAGTTAGCGATAAAATTGACTTCGCATGGCCTTCACCAATTTAGGTTCCTTGGTAAATTTAGCGGGAAAAATGACGTCACATGACCGTGCCACGTGACCTTTACGCAAATTTAGTTTGCCCTCTACATTTTGCGGGAAAATTGACGTCACGTGACCCTGCCACCAATTCAGTTTTCACGCTAAATTTAGCAGAGAAAACGATGTCATGATTTTATGTTACGTGATCTATACACAAACTCAATTTCCCCACTAAATTTAGCACAAAAATGTACGCGAAAATTGACGCCGAAATTTCTCCCGAACTGCGCTCTAATTTCGCATTACAGTTGAAGTTTAAACGTCTATGTTCTATGTTTTCAATTTTTTATCTGGGACATGGAGCGAAAAGCCGGTCTCAATAACATAGCTACTAGACCCTGTCCAAAGTCAGTGTCTAAGCAGCGTCGTTTTTCCTCACGCTTACTATTCGCTGTGGAACTGAGCCATCGGCTCAGTTCAGCTCAGTGCTATAAAGTTTTATCTATATCGTGAGCCTGCGGGTAATTGACACAGCCACTGGATTGAGTTCTGAGTAGCAACCGTAACCAGTATGAGACCTCATTGATCAAGGATTAGTTTCTTGCTTTTGCATGTTCACATCGCTACCTTTACATCGAGCTCTTTCATATCAAAGTGCACATGAGCCCCACTTCATCACAAGCAGTGAACGGCTGGTATTTCGTGATGTTAAATGATAAAATATAACAACGATGGGAACTTTGGTGGTTTCTGTGACGCACCCTAACCCATAGCGACTAACCCAAAGCGACTTCAATTTCTTACTGCTTGGGTGTTTCGACAGACAAAACTAACGATAAAGCGCTTAGCCTCGGAGAATCGAGGTATTTCAAATGACCACTGCTTCGACAACGGTTGCTTTTGACATGGTTATAAGAGAACGGGTCAACTTTTGTGAGTTAGCAATTGCAGACATTCTGCGGAAAAATGGCATCCTACGGGTGCTTGTTCCTCCCGTACCCCCCCCCCCCCCCCTCTTCCGCTTTCAGTGGGGCAGCCAAGTATGCGGCACAGATGATAAAGCAGAAGTTGAAGGTAACTTTCCATAATTTGGTGACTTTCCTTCGCAGATAGCCATGGAATGCTTTTGTCTTACAAAACGATGCCACATTAGGCGATGGGCTGTAGTCCTGCTGAACTTCATCGGTCTGTAAGCTAAAGTCTGTGCTGGGTTTTCTGTGGCCAGATTTTTTAACACCGGCGATTCTAAAGCAGCTTCATCACAACATGCGGAGCAACGTGTCCCAGCATTATATTCTTATTGATAGGCAACACCTACAGTATTATAAATTTGAAGCAAGTCGCGTTCGAAAATGCATGCACTGTAGTTGGTTGTGAGGGGATGTCGTGAATGAAGGTTGGCAAATCCAAACCTAAACCGGGACCCTTGGGTTCCCAAGGTGCTTTACACGGCACTATGCCGCTAGGATCGCTTGGTTTTAACAAGCGGTCTATTGGCAGAGCCCTCGAAATTCCCAGGCTGCCTTGCGCATGAGGCAAGAGTATGTGCACTCTTTTACGAAGCACTCTGTTAGAGGTTAGAGCCCCTGTGGAGGTTTTCCCTGTACGATTTTATTGAATGCAGTCAGATAAAACAGTTAAAACTAACTCCAATAGAGCTACTGCACTATAGCCTGTCGCAGGTTAGGAAGGCCGAACAAGCTCCACCCGCAATGCCCTCCACTTCATTTTAACAAAGCGAACGCTGCAGAGAGGAGGCGAGAATGGACTCCTCGCCAGCGTGTGCGCTGCTGAAGTGGAAAGAGTGGAGAGCTTCGGGGGAGGAGCAGGTGCTGCTTTTTTTAACCTGCAACAGACTATAATGGAGTCGCTCTGTTGGAGTAACTATAAAATATTTTAAACTAAAATTGATCTACAGATTGTGTGTTGTCACACAAGCTGATCGTCTGGACTCTGGAAGGTGCTGTCCTGCCAATCACTGGCGTCGCATTTTCCTGAAAAGTCGAAGAAGTATTCGCTTTTACTTATTTGTGTGACAATATGCGTTGCAATGGCTTTCTCCACTTGCTCAGATGTAAACAGTGCCTATTAATATAACTATGCATGCCAAAAAAAAAACACCACCTGAACAACTTTTTGGAGGAGAGGGCCGTGTTCGCGGCATCGGGCATGCTTAAAAGCCCAGAAATAAGGAGTTCTGTGGTTGGTGCGGTTCTCTATTTACATGCCTATTCAAGTGAATATCGTGCATTGAATTATTCAGCGGGCTTCAACGTTGGTTCATCATAACGGTTAAAGAATTCCTTTTTTTTTTCAATAAAAGTAATTAAAGTAATCGGCAGTTAATATGCTAACGCAAATTTTTCTATTTTTGCGGTACGGACAATAAAAAAACGAAGCTGGTATACAAAGAAATTAAAAAGGAACCCTTTGAAGTGCGAGCTGACGTGTCGCTAAGAAACCTAGCTTTTCCAGGGCCCTAAAGAAGCTAAGTGTTAGCAAACACTGACCGCACTAGGTTTTATCATAAAATAGTAGCGATCCGAATAGCGCAAAGATAGATCACCGTATTTCACAAATCTTAGCATGTTAACACTACAGTTTCCTAGCCCGAGACCCTTTCGACAGCCCAAACCTGGTCTGCGAGAGACCTCAACAACGAAACAGATCAAAGACGAAAACGTTCCAGGTATGGAACCTAAATAATTTCGACGCGATTTTGTTCCTCAAATTAACTCGAAATGTAGGAAAACATGCATAGATGCTTGCGCGGGTCGGTACAATATTTAACATTTGGAACACATTATTTGTTTTTTTAACTCCAGCTGGTTTTTGGCAATTATATATTGCGGCAATCATATATTGCGGCAATCCCTCATTTCCACCAGAACAAAGATTAAATGAACGGGCTCACCTGTTAACATTGGGCTCTTTGTAAGAGGGTACCGAGAGTTTGCGAGGTCGCTCACTTCTTCTCGTAGGTGGTGGTGGGGGCTCGTCGGCCGTTGCTGCAAGACAGGATGGCAACGTCTCGCACACAACGGTTTCTAAGGCCTCATTTAGGCGCTCTCATTTGAGTGTGATCTGCTGAGCTGTAAGCACTTGTGACCGCTTATGACGAGAGTGACGAGAGGAGACACTGGTGCCATCTATTAGGTAACACTGGAACACTTTTAATTTGCGTACATCTGACCATTTTTAAATCCGATTGCTACCAGATTTAATGCGCCAGCGTGCTTAGGAAGCGCATCCTCTCGCTGTAAGCGGTACCAAGCGGTTATGCCGACAGATGTGTGAACCTGCGTAAGCCCGATAAGAGTGGTTGTTTCGTCGAAAAACCTTTTCACCAAAAAACCCATTGAGTGTTGGTTTTACCATGCACGTTTCGTGGACAAACGTGACGTGCTTATTAGCTGTGTCAATAAGACGGTTCCACGAAACGCCTTTTTTCTTTCCGGTGTCCGCCACTTTCGCCATTAGTTTACACGGAGACGCTAAGTTATTGGCGTCGTTCTTGGTGTTGGTGAGACGCTGAAGCGTGTCGAGCGGCTCTGGATTTTAGTTTACGCAGATTTGTTTGCTTTCCGAGCCGCCCGGGCGACATCTACCGCGGCCTTTTAGGCCGCCGACGGGTCGACTTCTCATTCCCCATCTTGTCTTAAACTTGAATAAAGACTGGTACGTATAAAAATCGAGTACCAGATGATGCTCCTTTCATCATTGACTACTCCGGCAAACGCAATCGCTCATAACGCCAAAAAAAAAAAAAGATAACCTCGACCGATTTGGAAAACACTGCCTTTCCGCGCGTAGAAAGACATACGGCTTAAGTGTATTAATATGGTACCCGACGAGATTTCGAGCCGGAAAGAGTTGTTCGGGTCACTAGCAGACGCAGTTGATACTTACGCTTGCGTCCGCTCTATTTGTGACATAGTACAACATAAACACCCTGCGGTACGGACCGGGGATCATCGCTAATGCAATGCATCTTCTATTAGTGTCCTGAAGTTAATGCAAGATCTAACACGAAGAAGCTTCAGGAATGTCATGTGCCAGATTGGCAACCTCCTCCCAAGGGGCTCCAGAAACGCAAAATAGTATACTAATCATTTAGAGATAATCCTGACCACCGATTAGAAACCGTACCACACTCTAAGAAATCTGCAGCGTGTATACTTTTCCGCAAAGCACTTGGGAAAGTCAATCGCTGCTATCTGCGGAAGTAGCTATGCGAATGACAGCTTGCGATGTGTGCATGGCGAAACGTCATGCTGCACTGTCGCAGCGCAGGATGCTGTTTTTCATTTTTTACAGCGAAGCTGTTTATGGCTAGGGTTCCGTGGATGTTTCGTGTGCGTCAACAAAAACTCAGTCCCGAATTCGATGCAAAATTCCTTCATTCTATGCAAAAACTTACACGTCTCATCACTTGGATATGCATTTCCAGTACATGAGTTATCAATAGGCACCATTCTCAAGATCAGTATAAACTCGGGTAGATAATAAAGGTTTCTCAAAGATTTACCACTGCGCGACCCGCGTCGCTCTTGTCTATGCCCGCACCGCCCTCTCTTTGTCGTCGTTCCAAGCGCTTGCGTGTCTAGTTTCCTTTCCTTCCGCTCTCCCGGGGTGGCGGTCCCGTCGCGCGTGTCTACTTTCCTCCGGCCCCTCGGGGCGAGTCTGTGTAGTGTGCTGAACAGCTTCGCTGGTCATCCACCTTCAATAAGTAAAATGGCTCGGGATTTTTTTTTTTTTTTATGCTTAAACATGTTTGCTTTTTAAGTGCTTTGCTGGAAATCAGTCGCTCCAGGTTTCTAGGAGTGCTTACCCGAGGAAATTAAGAGCACTGTGCACCACACCTTCATCAGGCTTTTCTGCCGATTTCTCCTGGTCGGAGGTGGCTGCACGACTCTGCACCCAGAAGGGCGTTTTACTGCGCTCGCTCGTCCGGGAAGTTGAGACTCGTCCACTCGGCGAAGCTTCGGGGGCAGGCTCAGCTTTGTCAGTGAAGGGCTGTCCCGGTAAAACCGTTGTTTGTTTCGACGCCCCTGGGGTTTCATCGGCACGCGCGTTCTTCGACGTGAAGAATTTATATCGGGGGTTCTTGGTTGGAGTCTAAAAGGAAGTGTTCAAGAATAAATTGGAGCAAGAACCTCAACGGTAGTCAGCACTTTCAGTCTCAGATTGGAATGCATTGTACATCTACGTTTTGACGCGCATACCAGATGAAACTTTCATTTCGAGGAGGGAAACCAAAAGTTAATACAATGAAAGCGACGGGAGAATTAGAACGTCAGTTATGATAACACTCAACATCATGTTCTAGATGTAAGCAGGCAGCAATATAAAATATAAATAACAACACCCTTTTTCGTCAAAATACTGCACGGGAATTGGAATACCTTCTTGACATTACATGTGGCAAATCATCTTGATTTAATCTCTTCAAAGTAGCATAACCCAAGATCTATGAAATTTTTTTTTTTTTTTTTTTTTTACATATTTACAATAACATGAGACTTGGTATTAGGACTGGATCACATATAGGTTGTGCTCACGTCATCGGCGGGTGTGTGAGCTAGTCTTTTCAGAAGACATGCTTATTCAAGACAGGCGCGGCTGTAAACAAAAGCACGTTCAGCACGTCCTGCGGTGTCTCAGTTTCCCACTTGTTTCTTTTCCACCTTGCCATTTATTTTAAATGGCAAGGATTTTTTTAATAGTGTTGCTCTAAACACGAACTGGCAGTGCACCACACAAAATGCTTCATAGCTGCTTGTTGGCACTAACGAAAAATAAAGCATTAAATACTCTTACTGTTATTACTATTACTATTATTATTGTTGTAGCATTTTATTCTGACAGTTTTTGCAGTATATAAAACAGCACTATAACATCATATATGTCCCATTCATTTTCTCACAGCACTGAGATAAGAAAATCGTAATCGAATCTCTATTCGAAGCTTGGGAAAATGAGTGGTGTTGAACTAATAAATAATTTAACAATTCACAGGCTGACAAACGTAATGATACTATATATACATACACACACATATACACACACACACACACACACACACACATATATACATACACACACATACATACATACATACATTAGGAAGAAAGGCGGGAGTGTTAATTGTGATGAACAGAAGCATGACTCAGCTAGGTATAAGCACTGGCAGAACTAAAAAAAAAACTTCATATTAACAGTACAGAAGCTTTTGGGTGCCCTGTCAAGCCTTGTAGTCACAATAAGGAAGATATATAGGTTCCCAAAAACCCAGTTTGAAAACCCGTGCTGCGGACCTTAGGTGTCTACACGGAAACGTCATACCACGAGTGTATGCTTGGGGACTTTCGGTGATGCTTGTCCGGATGGAGAACCCTTGGCTACGGCCACCACTCCAGGACTCGTCACTTCCTCTGGACTGCTCTGGTCCTCATAGCAGACAAAGGCAATGTCAGCCAGGGGGGTAGTGTTGGAGCTTGCAGGCGATTTCCAGACAGCCGGTTCTGAAAGATGAAGTCGAGTCATGTCAGCAAATCCTCGTGAAGCTCGTTGGCCAGTGTGCACAACTACCTTTGTGTCGTAGATTTTGACACCGTCATAAAGTTTAGAAAATAGCTCGTACATGTGGTATCATATAAAAAAAAAATTAACGCGAACCCGACAGTGAGTCTACCCAATCAACTTATAAATGAAAATTTAAAAAAAAAAAACTCGGTTGGCAACCCTAGACAACATTAAGAATAACCGTCGAAACAGCGCGCGAAAAACGTACAAGGCGGCAGAAATTGATTGGACAAGTGCTGAGTTGCAACTGAGCTTTTCTTGAAGACAAAGAAAAAGCCAAAGAGAATATCACGAACCAAATAAAATAGAAAAATAGAAAACATCAAGACTCCTAGTACAAATTCTGCTGTATGTTTATAGAGCCTTGCTGCTAATGCGCCTTAACGGGTGAGTGTCTCTCGGCTGTAAATGAGCAATTAGCCAGTGCAGTACAACCGCTAATTTGGAGTCTAACTTGCACCACTCAGCAGTGATTACCCGAACGCGTACCGGTGCGAAACTCATCCAGATTGAAAAGGGCAGGGGGTGGGGATAGAACCCGGGAGGTTCTACAGCGCAAGTTTTCGTTCCACGCCCCGAGCTGAGACGCCTCAGCCCACTCGGCCACCAATCACCCTGATTCCACGCATACCTCATGATTCCCTACTTATCAATGAACTGCCTCATGCATATCAGTACAGGTATGATTGAAAGAGTTATTTCTGCCCGCTAATTTCATAACATTCTATACTGCGTTCCACCGTAAGTCACTGCAGAGTCGAAGGACAGAAGACACAAACGGAACCGCAGGCTAAAACTCACAAGGTCAAGGTGCATGCCCTGCGCTTGATTGATTTAGCCGGTGCACATGAAAAGTGCACTCTGAAAACCGACGAGCGCCGTGACGTTGCGTTGTTAGTGCTGCTTGCTTGAACTCAACGGCTTGTATAGTACCACGAAGCTCTTGCTTAAGTTCAAGTTAACAGTGGTGGAACTGCTGAGCCATTGTGCCATGAACGAAACACTGCTACATCTGGCGTAAAATTACAATTTTTGCTAAGGCTTGCGCTACACCTGCGCCAAGAAAAAGAAAATATTGGTCAACCCTAATATTCAGAGAAATAGATGGAAAGAAAAATGGTATAAATTTGAATTTCACAGCATCTCTACTCACCGTATAGTTTATTTCGTTTTAGGTCAAAGCACAGTCGAAGACACGAACACATAGAACCACAAACACACATACTAATAGCGCAAGCCACGGGACATTCGCTGCACTTGATTGGTTTAGCGGATGGAAGAACACGTACAAAGAGATGAAGGCCATGATGTCACGCTTTGATGCTGGGCATCAACCGCTCTGGCCGGTTCATGCGCTGGCTGGTTTATCGCAGACATTGTCTAAAGACGATGTCTAAAGAAAGCTTTGCAAAATAGTAGGATTGCCGATAGCGGCTATTATGATAAAACAGAACCAGGGGTTTGAACTCCTGATCAGATCACTCGATTACCATGTCTGCCACATGGCTTTGTTCCGGGACTGCGGCGTACCGTGGCACTTGCGCCGCTCCCGCCAACCTTCGCCGCCTCTCACCAGCGCGCGCGCGTCGCGCTTCACATTTAAATATTCTAAGCTTAAATGGTAAAACAAAATGGCTAGGTGGCGTAAGCTACCGCCCGATCCAAAGGGCTCAGCCGTATTCATCCATCCATCCATCCAACCGCTTGGCACCGGAGTGTTAGGAGCAGCGGCTTACCTGGGAGAGCGCCTGGCTTACCGCGATATAGTCACGGTAGTTCCCGTGCAATTGTCGATCGAAAGAGTAGCGAACTTTGACGTAATTCTGGTTCCTACGCCCTTAAAGAGCCGCGTCACCTTTAAAGCGCAAGTGTAGGCTTTTATAATATTTTTCGGTGTTTTTGTTAGTTTATGATATTAGAATCATAAGTTTGGTAGGTGCATTAATTAAACTTACGGGGCGCATTTTTATTGACAGACGCGTTAGCGGATATGCTGGTTCTAGCTGGAATTTAGCAGAAATTATGTTTACAGGTTAAACGAACTACCGAGTGTAAAATGGGGTGGAGAAAAATAATTCATCCCAATGAATGTTGCGCTATGATTCACTTTCCAACCATTTTTTTAAATACCCATTGTAAATAAAACATGTTCTGATTAGATCTCTATTTAAGAAGACGGTTCGTCTAAGCCCGATATATTCTTATCAGAAACGGTAATAAGTAATATGCTCAAGTATCAAATACTAACCCGTGATCACTATTATAAATGAACTCGTTTACAGATGCAATCACTTTTTTATTCCCAAATGATGTGCTAACAGATGTTAGTGGCTGCTCAAAACCAATATTCTGCCTGCTACTGAACCTGCTACAAAAGGTCAAATGCCGCTTCCATCACTGAATTAAGTATGGAAATTATCTTAAAAGTTTTACCTTTATTCTTATAATGACCCAGCTATATTATGTTTTCGTCGTCACGACGACTATAACAATCCCAGAATTCAAAGGCCCCCCCCCCCCCCCCCCCTCCCGGGCGTGTTGATCTAAAAAAACATAATCTGATGTTATTTTATTGATTACCGCCCAGTTTGGTCAATTTGCACTTTGCCAATGGTCAACACGGTTTGGTAGCCAATACCCATTACGGCTGAAACGTGCTTACGCTTGTGTTTCACATCGCAAACACGCTTATCCTGCCCCTTTTCGCCGAGTCCGGATCACAGTTTTTTGCGCCGAGTTGCGGGAGGTTGATTCATGACTAAGCCTATAATTTTAGATTATAAGAGGCCCTGTGATGTTTGCAGTTCTTCGGCAGATGGTTTTGTTACATGCTGCTTGATGGTCCTTACCTGGCAGCTGCGATGTCTGAGGGCTCAAGGCGAAGTGGACATCAGAACCGGCAGCAGAAGATGGAGACGCCGGAAGGCTCGCACTAAGAGTTTCGGATAACCTCCGATGTCTCTCTGAAACGCGCGATAGGGACGGACACTTTTGAGTCCCACTGACGACGCAGGTTGCCGTGGCAGTGAAGGAGTCTTCTCTACAACATCCACTCTTAATCGGTGTCCAAACAGGATACTTCAGAACGCGTGAGGGGTGTCCAAACAGGACACTTCAGAACGCGGGAAGGGCTGTCGAAACAAAACACTTCAAGAACGCGTGAAATCACACTTCGCCATATAAAGTGCAACTTTCCGCTTCCGTCCGTTTTTTTTTTTTTTTTTGGGTGGGGGGGGGGGGGGGGGGGGGAAGGGGGGGGGGGGGGTTCGTTAAAGTTCGCTTGTATTGCTCACGAAGGCCTAGAGCATGCTTATCACGTGGATCCGGACAGCCACTCACACGCTCTGCTGGCTGTCAGTCAAACGCTGAAGGCCTCCGCTGTTATTCAAGTCTAATCCCTAAAACGGGAAAGGGAAGAATACGAGGGCGCGGTAGAAACAGATGAACAGGCACCGACATCACAGAAAAGCAGAGGAGGTGAAGAAGAGAGCGATTATGTTTGCCGGGTGAACGTCCAAACAGAAGACGGACGGCCGGACCTCAACTTTTAACTTCATTTGGTGGAGAAGTGTCGCTTCACGCGTTCCGAAGTGTCCTGTTTAGGCACCCCTTGGGGCGATACTTCTCCGCCATATGAAGTGAAAGTGGAAGTTCGGCTGTCCATCTTCTGTGTGGACATGCGCCAGCCAAACATCACGGCTTTTGCTTTCCTCCTCGCCTCCTTTGCTTTTCTTGACGTCGGTGCTCGTCAGACTGGACATCACACGCTACCTGCCAATGGCGTGCCTGTTTCGTGTCCATGTGTTCTGCCACGACCTTGTATTTTAGGGGCAGTGACAAAGCCCACAACGACGATTGCTTTGCTTCCTTTTCCGACTACATCGCCAACTCACACATACTTTCGTATCCTTCCCTTTCCTGTTTTCGGGACCTGAAGAGCAGCGGGGGTCTTGGAGGATTGACTGACAGTCAGCAGGGCGTGTAATGTCCACCCACGTGATGAGTATTCCCTGTAGTCGGTGACAGGTTAAGAGTGAAGTGGAAACTCCTACCACCTCTCTTCACTTCACTGGAGAGGAGGCGACCTCCTCTCCTGCGTTCGCTCTGCCTAAAGGGAGGGAGGTGGCAGGAGCTTCCACTACACTCTTAACCTTGGCGGAAGGAAGCTGCTCCCAGCCCCCCCCCCCCCCCCCCCCTCCAAAAAAAAAAAAAAGCGGACGGAAGCGGTGTGTTTCGCTTTATGTGACGGAGGGTGTCGCTTCACGCGTTCTTGACGTGTCCTGTTTGAACAGCCTTTCAGGCACCCCTGAAATGTCCCGTTTGGACAGACCTTTACGGTATGGTACATGCCTTTTCAGGGCCTGACTACCCCTACAGTTTTTAACAGCCGTTCATAGAGTTGATAATAATCTGATTCTTAATGTGTGTTTTTTTTTCCGCTTTAGAGAAGTGCTTCTGGCCAGATGATTTTGGCTCCCATGTCCACCATAACGCTGCACTGCCAAGACAAGTCCGCCATAATTGCCCCCTCTATCACATATCCTGCATTTTGTCCCATTATTCTTGGAAAACAAATGATATTAAAAGAAATAATAAAGCTATTTGTTTGTTCAAACTGAATGTTGAATCACACCCTTACCCCCCACCGACATTCATCTTTAACTTGTTGAAAGCAGTCAGTGTACATTTAAAATATAGTCGTTAGGCTGTGCAAAGCCTGAACACTTGATCAGGTGCGCCTGAAAGTCGACACGCTCTCAACATTTCCCGCGAACTCGTCTTAGGCGAGAAAGAATTCAGTCTTTTCAAGGCTCTGTAAACTTCAGCGATACACGAGGACGATAGC